TTTATTATAATAATTTATCATTCTAACATGGAAATTTGTTTTAACGCTTAATATTCGTTTTAATTTTACGTACTTGTTTTTTTTTCGATTTAATTTAAAATTTGTCCGCATATCGCATGATCATACAAGTACTCGTACATAGTTTAGTTACAATATTTAATTATGCATAATACATTATATGATTTTATATAACTTAACGGAATTTTATTTTATTTCTCAGTAATTTCAAAAAAACCCACAAGGTAAGAGTACAAAAATGTGTATATCGGTTATATACTCCTGTAGGGGTTGTTAATTATTATGTTTTGATTCTTGGATCGAGGGACTGCGTATCATCGAAGGACTCTAGATTGAATATATTTTTAACTGCTATCTTCATCCATTCTTGTTTTAGAGGGATGTTTTAATGATCTATATAAAATTGTAAATATAATTGTCTGTTCTATATAATTTTTTTTTTAAATAATGCAAATCTCTTATATACTCGTATTATGGAGTATAGTATTTTTACTAATTAGTTTTTTTTGTTCCTCAAAATTTCTAAAGTTCTTTAACTTATTTTTCTTTCATTGGTGGCAATAAGATAAATTTTTAATTTCACATAATTGATAATTTATAAAATAATTTTAAATTTTACCATTAAGCGTTGAGCATAGAAGTGACATTTTGCAGTAAATCTACATCCATCCCAATTTATTCAACACTCATCTATTCCTAAAAACCGATAAATAATTAACTTCACGATATTTGATATTTATACAACAATATTTCCAGGAAAACTATATTCTAATTCAGAATACGTAACTTGAAATAAAGAACTTTTGTAAGAAATTTTCATAATTTTATATGGTTTAAAACCAAAATTCCTAGTAAATACATTAAGTAAAATAAAGTGGCATATACTTAATGATAGTAATTTGAAATTGTATCTTAAGTTTCAACTATAAGTCAAATTATTGCACCATTGACAATATTGTGAAGTACTTTAAGTATTTATTGCAAACTATGAGATATGTACAATCACGTGTTTCATATACAATTATTTTTCTAAACTTGGCCTCCAAGTTTTGATATAAAATCTACTATATGTAATTAATATAGAGTTATACGATAATCAATTTAATTTATTAACACTATAAGAGTGTTTCCTATTCGACTATATAAATTCAATTAAAAAAAAAAGTTTAATTTCTATAGTAATAGTATGAAAAATTATTTGTTTTTTAATTCTAATGTTTTTGAAGCACGTTGTATACATTTTGTTATCATTTTAATTAAACACAAATTCAATACATTTTTTTTGGCAACATACATATTATTTATTGAGTATACTCGTATTAAAGTGAAACGTTAAGGAAATCATCCTTTATAAACAAACATAAATTCGAAGTTTTTCGAACGTGACTTGACGTCTAATAGTAAGCCTCTGTAAAGTATTTAAATTAGAAGATAATTACTTTCACTAAAATGTTTATCAATCATTTAAGCTAAATAAATATTTTAAATTAATTAATTCGTGCACAGTAAGTTATAATCAGAATTGAAATTCCTGAACTTGGATTATTTGAAATGTTTATAGAGTGCTATGAATATTTCCAGACCATGAGTTGTATTGAATAATTGATGGTCGATAAATATGGAAAATTCAACAAATTAACTAATTAATTAAATTTAAATTAAAGAAAAAAAATGTAAAAAATCCTCTGAGAGATGCTGTCATTGCCAAATATCATTCGTGATAAAAAACATAAATCCTTATATTATTATTCTTATTTTCTAATTTTGAAATTTTAGAATAAGTTTTGTGTTGAGTGTTTAGTTTTCTTCTTTTTATCTAATCAAATTTGTGACTTTGAATTTATTAATTTTTTAAACCTAGCCGAATTAAATAACACTCCTGTTCGTTCTGGACCGGACATGATAAACTATGCTACAAAGTATCGCAAAATCCAACTCACCAGTTTGACAATAACTTAGACAAATTCAAAGTAGTCACACTTTTATATAGTTATTTTTTCTTTTGTTCCTTCCCTTTACTGCAACCATTCATCTGTCGCATTAATCGAGTATGTCTTACACGTATGCTATAAAATATGACGGCTAGTACAACACTTGAGGATATATAAAATATCTACTTAATTAATTGCTATGGCATCCAAAAGAGCATTCGTAGTTAAAGAGCATGGTAAGTATGATGACCTCGGAGTGTAAGACTTTTATTCACTGGGTCAATAAGTTTATGTAGAGAAGATTCACAAGACGATGACATGTGACATTTATATCAACTGCCTGGATCGATTAACATTACTATTTGAGAGTGAACACATTATATGCTTTATACGGGATATATTGGATATTATTATATAAAATAATCGTAAGCATTCACAAAATTATAACATTTTCCAATTAATTATTGTTACGGTCATTATTATTATTATAATTGGAGAATGTTTTCCATGTAAAATAAAATAAATATAAAAACAATTTTAAAATAAAAATAACCATTTGCGGTATTCGAAAATTAAAATTAACTATCAATATGTTTGATATTAATTATTCTTTAATTAGTTTTTCAAACATAGATTTACATAAAACTAAAACTATTTGATTAACTTTTAACTAATAATAAGTCCGATAAGTGACTAATTTATTTTATACATTATGCTTAATTTTATTTCATCCTTGTTACACATAGACTAATTTATTCTTTTAAACAACATTTTTTTTTAGTCCTATACCCTATTACTCAATTTATTATAAATAATATTAATATTTTACTGTATATATAAGTCATAAAGAGAAAATGTGTTATAACTTAGGAGTAATATATTAAGTTCTTTAAATTTTTTAGAATCCTTGTTAGACTTTTTCCCTTTTTTCATAATATATTATACTCTATGAAAAAACTATTCTATAAATTATTTCGTTTTTTGTGATTTCAATCGATATAGATCATTATAATAATTTATAAGAATACCCAATTTAAAACTGTTGAATTAGAATTGATTATTTTTATTCGGGCACTATTCCCTTATAATGTAATAGTCTTTATATCAAATTAATGAAAGATAAAATATACTTATTACAGTTTTAATTTATAACAGGTCCGAATACGTTTAATGTATTTACAGTTGTTAAATATTATGGTAAAATTAAAATTAATAAATTTACGATATTTGTAAACTTATCTTATTTATATAAATAGTACATTTAATTATTTAAAAAGTATAGTAATAAGTATATTTATACTTGTATTAACAGTTGTAGGTATGTTTTGATATATTGCAATGTAATAATTTTATATTATAAGCTAATTACATTTTATTGTAGGTTGGTTATTAAAATTACTACTTCAAAATTTAATAAATAAATTATTTTTAATACATTTTTATTAATAATTACTGCTTTAAAATAACTTTTTTTCATCATATGTATTAAAAAATATCTATAATATATAATTTAATATTTTATATATATGTGGCCGGCAATATGGATAATTCAGGTATTTCGAAAAATGCCTAGGCATTATGCAAATTGCCGACTCATTTTAGGAAAAGTACAAAACATTGTATTATATGTTATATTACTTTATGATTTTTATAATTATTATACATTGTTACTCATATTACAGACAAAATGTAATTTTTATTTATTATTATATTATTACTATTACATAAATATTTTACTTAAACTAATATTTAATTATTATAACATGTTGTAGAAAAGTGACATTTTGAAGTGCACAAAATGTTATTTTTAAGGTAAATACACTTTTTATTTTGACACTTGGACTTACAAACACATTTTAAAATCCTTGGCCAATACTTGTGAATTTAATTTTTACCAACTCATTATACTGTTCATGAGATAAAAAACTAGTATTAGTGGCCAAATTTTAAAAAAAAAATGTGTAGTTTGTTATAAAAATTTGACTTCATATAAATCGTATGCATAGTTGCTACAGCAAAACGTGACATGAAAATGACGAGAATAATTACGATATTGTAATAAAATTATTAGTACGTTTAATATCGTATCTCAATGTTATTATTATTATTGTATTAAAATAATATTAATATTTATTTCATTAAATCATGAACGCACATGTATGTTAAACGATAAATAAAGTCGTTGGTAATAGGCGATGCTCAATTTTATTTGTTTGTTTACGTATTGCCTACTCCGCGATTCTCATTATACCGGATTATCCATATTGCCGGTAATATATATATAGTATATAATAATGTGTGGTATTAAAACTCACGGAGTGTTGAATAGGCAATAATGATGCATGCTTGTGTAGGTAACATAAATTATTATTAATTTTTATACAATTTTAATCTTCTTATTTCCTTACCTTTATTACGATAATTGGAACTATACCAACGGTTCTCGATCTTTTTGAGGCCGCGATCCCCTATAATGTCACGAAGATTTTTAGCGTACCTTTTATTATGATTACATTAATAAGTAATGATAAATTAATATGTATTGTATAACGGTTTTAATTGGCAATCCTAAATTTTTATCTATTGTAATTCTCAACAATAATTATCATGATGATATTTACAAAAACACCATACTTTAATATTTGATATTTTATTATTTATTATTTTGATATATTAGTGACCCCCAAGGGAGTCATGATTCCGAGTTTTAAAATCGTTTAGGTATACTGTTATTGTTACCAGCATCAACGGAACAATACAACTTTATTCTATGCATATATATTCACTTATATATCATATTTTATGTTTATGATCTAGGGAAATTGTTTGTTCATATGTTTAGAAAATAATCATAATAATTTTATAATAATATTTATTATTCAATGATGATGTAACATAATAAATAATAAAATAATAAAAATATAGTAGTGTTGTGCTAAATATTGTTGTAATGTGTCCGTTTAAAGCCCTTCGCCTATCGGTACGTTATTTTGAACTCTGATTAGAAAAATATTAATTCTAATGTTTATTCTGTGTTCGTTGTCGTTTCAGAATGCTGGTTTACATCTGTTCTCATTTTTCCTCATGTTATTGGGCTCCGGTGTACTGCTCGAAAATACGACAATCGGATCCGATATCGTGCCGGCCATCAGGGAAACATTGATGAATTTGATCATGCAATCACATAGCGAATCCTCCATGCACACGCTAAACATGATCCAAGAGTCCGTAAGTTTTATTTTCTAACAAAAAGTATTTTATCTATACGTGATACACGATAATAAGTTAATGGTACAGTGAACATATTTAAAGTACTGCAATACTATACGACAAGATCGCAAGTCGGAAAATTACAGGGTAATAAGTTATTGGAACCCTTTTTTTCCTGTGATTTATTTACCCACATTTAAACTAATAAATGCACCAATCCAATGAACTATTTACTTAAAAGTTAAAATTAATTTCAACCGTAATTTTTACATTTACAAATATTTTTTTTTTCGTTCGAATGATAATATTATTATCACATTATTGAAATCGGTTTAGTATATTTATACCCTATCCACTCACATGAGTACAAATGAACAAAATATATGTACATAATAACTAATAAATTAAAATATACTGGGCCGTATTTATGTTGGCACTAGTATAGGGTAACCAGGCATCCCGTTTAAAACGGGATTTTTCCTTTTTTGATCATCACGTCCTGTTGTCGCGACAACCTTCGAATGGAACGTTTTTTATCCCGTTTTTAGAAGATTGTCCTATTTCAATCCCGCTATTTTCATATTAGATTGCTGATCGTGTATAATTTTCCAAATTCTTGTTAAATAAATGTAAGAGTAATTATATGTAACAATACATTGTTCAATACTATAATTGTAATATAAAAAAAATTATTTTTCTAATAGTTTAAAAATTATAATAATTTTGAAATGCAAAATTGTTTTGTTTAATGAATAATTAATAAAAAATATTATTTAATGATAACTAAAAGAAAATATTTTATTATTTGGGTTATTTTACTAAAAAAGGATAAAGTAAAAAGAAAATAATTGTTTATGATATGACAGAGATTTGGACTTTAACTCCAGTGATTTGTGTGCATATGTGTGAATGTATATGTACTCGTATGAAGGTTTTTTTTTTGGGGGGGGGGGGAGAAATAACAGGTGTTCCGTTTTTTTATTTTCTTAATATGGTCATCCTATACTAATATAATTTTAAAAGAGTACACCGGAGTTTCGGGGTACTTTTTTATACAGTCATAGTACACCATATCACTCATCGAATATACTTGGAATTATAATACAAAATCGTTTATTCAAATATATATTAAAATATTATATTTTCATTCTCAAAATTAGAACTCAAGGATTTTCAACTAGTAGAAGAGCTGAGTGATCTATTTTAAGTCCTAATAGCTTATCGACACTTTTTGAAATTTTGACTCTTATGATCAAAGTTAGTTACTAGATGATTAGACACGTTGGTGTCTAATTTTGATATAAAAGTCATTCATCCATATATGTAAAAAATATGTTGAATATGAGTTTCTTGGGAATAACCGAATTTCCAATATTCTTTTAAATTTTTGATATTGTAAAAAAAAAAAATTAAAACAATCATTATATTTTAAAGTACGAACGAAAAGTTAGTTTATGTTTCGGATTTGAATATTAATATAATTTTTATCACAGTATTTATTAAATATTTTACAAAAGCCAAAATAAACACTTAAAAAAACATGATTTTTTTTTTTATTCTACCGTTGTACTCGAACGCGGATTATCAAAAGAACATCGATAGAATGACGAGAAATCAGAATTATGATCGTCAATATAATATAGCGTAGACAGTTAGTGCGAATACCACATTACACCATTTTATCACAATTACACGTGTTAAATTATTGTTATACGAACTGTGTGCATTTTAATCTGCTTACTACAAATATATATGAATATTTATTGTTATGATTCATGCAATACAAATTAATTTATGGAGACGCAAATCATTTTATTTATATTTCGCGACGAGAAATTTAAACTTTCTACTACGATGCACAACCGCGTTGTGTAAATAACATATGTATGCACAGTTCTATATTATAAAGAAAATTCATGTGAAAATTGAATTTCGTTTGTTTCTCTTTCTTTTGTTTAAGTATATCAGATGAAGTTTCGTCCTATCTGAAAGAATTTTTTTTAAAAATTATCAATTGTCAATTTTATGGACGTGGCTCTCACAAGGGGTGGATGTTCTTCTTCCCCCATCCATTAAAAAAACAAAGATAACACTGTTCTTGTAGTCAATTTAAATTTTACCTATAGATTCGTTACGCATTAGACTCAGCGTACAAATACTTGAGCTGTTATTACTATGGTCGATTGATCAGAGTTAACGCAGAGATGATTCTTTGAACGTCGAGTTTTTTAATGTACTAATAAACTGAAATGTTTTTCGCTGAATAACCTATTGTTAAAAAAAAAAACTATTTTTCGTAGCCAATAATCGATTATACACAAAAATACATACGTAATATTATACTTTATATTACCACGATTTTGTGAATTTCTTCAAATTTTAAATACGGATACTAATATAAAATAAAAAATGAAATTTAATTTACTTATTTCTTACACAATGAATTTAATTATAACAAAACATCATTCTGTAGTAATTTTTTTTTTTTTTTTGCTTGATATTAGGTTGATTTTATGCATTGGAATCCAAGTTAATATGAAATGTGTGGAAAAATCCAAAAATCACAAATCTTATTTTACATTAAACCGATATTTTACTGTTCCAGATTTTTGAATTTACTAACTTATATTTTAAAATTATATTTCATTATACTATTACTGTCTTAGGACAATCTTGCTTTTAAAAAGTTAAAATGAAAAATAGTTTTATAATTCACAAGAATAATCAATCATAACATTACGTAATTCAAATATAATTATAAACTTTAAAAAGTTTACAAATGAAATAAACATTTTTTTTAAAAACTGAACATAGCTGCATGGCCGATCATTTTGGTTCTTCTACTCCATAAAGTTTTTATTTAGCCTTTAATATTTTTTAGCTTTTCGAAAAACTTCATCAGAACTTATTATATGTTCCATCCAACTTATTTTTAGTATTTGCCTATAAAATTATACTTCTAATACAAGTTTTCTCTTCTTTATTTCTTATTTTCCATGTTTTACTTTCATAATGGATTAAATATAATATACTTTATTATACTAGATGGTTATAAAAGAGGTATTTACGTAATCATAAACTCGTCAAAAAGAATAAATTTGAATATATAGTATTTTATACTCGTTATTTGTTCCAATATGTACTTCTTATAAACACCTATCAAGGATACCAATATGGGACCACTGCTCAATCTCCTACAAACATTATATATATATATGCCCACTTTAAATATAATTACTCTATTTAGAATTTGGGTATAATTTTATGAAACATGATAAGAGTGTAATTATATTTTATTAATCATTTTCTCGTGTTCACTCTGTACATTTGAAGGTGTGCTTAAACTTGTATCTAAATGCATGTATTTTTACTATGTCTACATTTATGTATACATTTTATTAATTTGGATTAAACATAGAAAAAATTTCGAATTTTTGAATTTTCATCCATTAAGAAAAGGGGCGCATACTATGATTACGAGAAAAATAAATAACTTAGAGTTTATTTAAGATAAAGACCATTTATTTTATACCAGTTCACAGAGGTGTTAAGATCTATCTAAAGATTTAAACAGTCTCTTATAAATTCAACCTGCATATTAAGTTTTGATTTATCTGCAAACTAACATCTGCACACTTGACTGAACATTTAATGTCATTAAGAAATAAAATAAATATCAGTGATGAATTATGAACATTTTATGATATACCGGATTTAACAGAGATTTTTCTGGATATATTATAATTTACTTAAATTATTGGTTCCCTTTTGAGGTAACCACTAAGTCAGATTAAAAGTGGATTCCAAATACTTTGAAATCAGATATTTGGAATCCAGTTAAAGTAGTTGACCTTATCAAACGGTTTTTCAACATCAGTATAAATCGAATAAATGGTAGATATTTTTGAGGAAAATAAACTTTTCAGAAATAAGATACACAGACATATCCGAAAATATTTTTCAAAAAGCAAAAAATTTAATAGTATCGATATAGTCAACAATTTTAAATTGGACAATAATTTTTTAATATTATTAAAATAACCAGATTTTATAACTGTGCTAACAAAATAAATCTTCTATAAAGATGAGTATCCGTCTATTGGTGGAGATTACAAAAATAAAACATGAATAAATTAATAATTAAATTAGAGACTTCACTAACGTAAATATGAACATTAAATTGATTAAATTTAATTAAGCCGTCACATTAAGTTATTAACTTGAATAATAGTATCATCAATGAGATTATTAAAATAACCAAAAAAATATTTCAAATAAATTAACTATTTCGGAAGCATCAGAATCTAACAAATTATAAATATACGTATTTTACGGAACATCATACTTGTTTTGCGTTTGAGATACATAATAATAATTTCAGAATCGAGAAAGAAGTTTACATAGTAATTTTATTCTGGAAAAGCTTTTGTAATCAATATAATTATTCGATAGTTTAAACTTTTTGTGTACCTATTTTTTTCAGACGTACAAGAATATTTAAATCTTTATTAAACTACATAAGAAAAACAAATTTAATGTAATTATATTTAGGAACTTAACTATTAACTATTTCAGATACAATTTTATAAAACGCATTCATCATGCCTATAATCGGTAAGCCATTAAAAATCTTAGACAATCATCAGTGTTTAGCTCAATTTACTTACAAAATTCGGTGATCGAAAGGTACCCACATGAATTTATCTAGATTGGTAAAACATTCATCCAAGATAAATGTTAAGATACCTTATAATTATTTATCTATATGATATAAAATATAAATAAATAACTCTTAAGATAATTCATCTAGACAATTTAACAAAACTAGTACGATAACTGGCTACACCAAATTTAACACCAACAGACCGATTTAATGGTCTTAATCCTGCACTTGTATCCAACAGTACATAAAAAAAACCATATATATTTAATTCTAAGTTTAAAAAATTACAATTCATCATAATTTTTGATATTACAATAAAATCATAATCACAAATAAACAAATTACATTGTAAAAT